AAATTGCTTATGCCAACAAGCTGCAATTTGGTACCATACGTTGCAGCCACACATAACACTCCATCAGCGGGTGAACGGCCGAAGGAACAAGGGAAATATGGGGTTATGTCCAGATCCAGGTGGCGATTCCTGCCGCAACAACAACGAGCATGCCAGCTGCAGTTGCTTCCAAAATCTTGTCTGTAACGGCTCGAGAACTTGATTTGGCGGTTCCGTCCGTCATGAGAATAACTTTTACATCATCTTTCTTTTCATTGATCAGGTAGGTGAAAGCATCCGTCAATGTGCGAAAAGTCGAAGTTGCACCCGTGACTATGGGCAGTATGCGCACCCTGTCCAGAATACCCGCCATACCGATCTTGTTATTCCTGATAGCACCAACGATGCCAGCCATGTTGGTTCCATGCTCTCCTCGAGGACTGGTATCATCATTCTTATCAACCACGTTGTAGCCCTGGATGACGGTACCCTTCAAGTCAGGGTGAGTGGCCTCGATTCCGTTGTCAATAACTGCGATGGTCACAGGTGTTCTCTTGGGAGTAGAGTCCAGGATACCCCAAGCCTCCGGTATAGAGATGGCCTCAAGATAAGCCTTCTGCTTGTGATAGAGCTTGTCGTTAGGATCACCGTTCACAGGACCGAGCCCACGGAAAGAGCCATTTTGGCCCACTTCTGCTTCAACGTAGAGAAGGTTGCACGAGACGAACCAGAATGATGTTAGGAGGAGCTTCATTGAAAGCCACTAGGATGAGCGAGTCGTTGTGTTTCGGCGTGCCGAAGTGTACGCATGAACTACCTCCTTTGAGTCACGTGGGAAATTTTTCGCGTGCGACACAAGCTTTTTTACTGGGGCACGATTTTTTTCGGGCGGGCACTAGCAAAGGACTCTGATAATCCGCTTCTCTGATTTCGGACTCACTCAGGCTCAACTCGGGCTATCATCCGTCGCACGAATGCACGAATCTCGCTCTCGCATTATTCGTTGCAAGTATAAATGGACAAAAAGCTTTATTATCTATTATGGCTATCCCAAGTCTTGTTGAGTCAACCAGGACGGGTGTTACTGGTGATAAGGTTGGATGAGTGACGAACCATCCGTGTTGGCACGTATCTGAATGGCAGATTCATTCTTTCGGCTCGGACGATGCAGTTGCACTGAACGGCTTCCAATGCGATGAGATTGCCCAAAAACGGTCAGTGGAACGAGGAAATTAGACTTTCTGAGACGGTTGGCATGTATGCTCTGGATTCTGGATTCCAACGACGGCGTTTATATCAATTAACTCTCGGATCATCATAAGCACCATCGTTGCACCAGTCACGTTCCACCATTAGTCAGTCGAGTTTTTATCTTAGTCTAGGTTCTAGAGTACACAGCCACTCCGCCGCGAGGATATACAGTAAACTTGTGATGCAAGTAACCTTGAGAGATCAGGGACCGTGAAACTCGACTTCATGTAGCGTGGGATTCAACTCTATGCCTGTTTCTCGTAGCTCTAGTTTTGAAGTAGTACTTCATAATGCTTGCTGTATTCTGAATACAGTATTCAGAAACGACAAGGACTCTACCAATTAGTCCAGAATAAGGGCTCGACATTCGAATACTCCACAATATTTGAATGTCGAGAGGTTCGGACTCCGAACTTCGGAGCAGGTTCGGGAGATCACCGAGAGCGTAGCTTATTTGTCCTATCCTTGGAATATACCTGAGCTAGTGTCTGTCTGTCATGATTTTACGCCGTAATTTACGGCCTGTACTGTATGCCGCTATAAATAGCTATAAGAAACTCGAGGACCTGCGAACCAAGACACTTCTCTTGATGTTTGGATACCGCAAGGGCATTTGCGAGGGAAGTCGAAGGATCAATGAGCGTGAAACTCGTTTGTTCCACTCTTAACATATACCTAACTTTGTTTTTGCCCATCATAGGCAATGACCCGTCGTTTTATTCGCGATGCTTAGGCTCAAAGAATGATAACCGGGAGGCTCAGAGAATGATCCATGATAAAAGCGGCGCAGAATAGCGGGAGATGACGCATTACCCCTTGCCGACATGCTGGGCAGTGGCAAGGATGATAGACGTGAAAAAACCACGCTTTGTCATCGCACTCG